ATTAGTCTTCTCTTTCCAGTTCTTTTGGTATTGGGAACACTTGAATAAAATAATTAGAATAAAAAATATTTAGAAGGATAAAGGTTATTCAGTTGTCTACTAAACTTTAAGCAAATCTTCTGAATTTTCACATAGTTCCACATACCTCCAAAAGAAAATGTGTGAATAAATGTATTTTATTTAATTCCATACTGATATTCTTCTTTTATCTAGAAATATTATTATTAGGAAATTGTAAAAATAGAAGAAAAAACTTAAATATATTTTAAAGATTATTTTGTATTTTATTTTTTCCTTTTCTATCTGTATATGTTCTTTTTAGCATTAGCTCTGTTGTGGCTCAGTAGTTCTTTTATTTTTACACATTAGCTTTCTCAACATGGGCTTGGTCAATTTGACCAACCACGTGACCCCCTTTGTATTCGATCAAAATCTTTATAGATTTGATACTACTAACTTTTATTATAGTGTGTGTATATATTCACGAAATTTGGCAGTCTTTCAGTAAACATTACAAGTCTTTCACATACAAAAAATCATATTTTTTAGTGAAGTATTTTTAACAAACTAAACAAAGATTTGTCCTTGAATGTATCAAGTATGTTTTGAATAGTCTGTGTGCAAAGTGATTTTAATGTTAAGATTAAAAATACTTTTCTTCATCTCAAAAATGTCAAATTTCATATGTATAATCTCTAAATCCTCCTAAATACATTTCAAATATTTGTTTTCAGTAAAACATTATATTTTACCTGTTATTTTCTCTACCCTAACTCTTTACGAGGTTGGTCAAGTTGACCAACTTCGTAACCACCAAAAAAATTGAAATAAATCACCCTTTTTTCTTTCTAGAATGACTTCAGATGTAATGTCAAACTACATTCGTTTATCCTAAATAGGTTTAAATATACAATATACATCTATTTATAATTAAATTTTATTCTTTTATTGCCCTTTTTATTGCTCTTTCAACCATGTCTGACTACTATTTGCACCATCATAAGTTGTAAATCACTTGTGGAATGTGCAGATCACATTAAGCTATTGAACTACCTTACCAACAAGCTGCTCATGTGCGTACCTCATGAAATATTTTTATTATGTTGTTATTATTATTTGTTTTACCTAATATAACCTTAACTAACCTAAAGACATCCCTATTTTTACATTTTAGTTACTTCTATAATAAACAATAAACATGAAAAACAAGAAATAAAGTACTTACCTGAGTAGTCTTTTTTTTTCAACTATTGATGACACTTAACTCTACTTTTTTATACTAATGGTAGTAGTGCATTAAACAATGTTTATTTAATTAAATGATGCACCAAAGAACATAGACTAATAACATGCAAAAAGCAGACAATTTCCTCTAACAATCACAGTTTTTCTGGCTTTCTAACTATACGACAAGAGCCGTTACAAATTCATCCAAGCTAGTCATTACTTTTCCAATGGGAATGAAGCTTGCGCTACAAGTGAAATTGACAATTATCTGTTCAGAACACAACTTAATATAATTTATCATTTGATAGATGAAAACCTTAGCTTTCTATTGGTTATAGGTAATATATAATTTAACCTAAGAGAGAACTATTAACAAATCCTGAAAGAAAGGATGTGGCAGGAGGGTTCTGATTTTCTGTTTGATAGTTCTGTAACCAAATAAAATTGAAGGCTATAAAAGTTATGGTTTGTCTGAGCAATGACAATTTTTTAGTGAGTAATTTATGTTTAATTTCATAGTTACTGGAGGGGTGGTGGATAAAATACAGAAGAGAAGATAGATACCTAGAGAAAATGTGTTGTGTGTCACACTAGGGAAATATTCAGGATTTTTTAAAATATTGCCTTATAGAATTAAGAACTTAAAACTTGTATACTATTAAAATATGGATTATTAGCTAAACTTTTATGCTATACTAATTGGTATAAAATAAACAAAAAGTAGTTTAATAAAATTTTGAATGTAAGACACTAAAACCTTGTGTGATGCACAATAAAGGATAGGGTTAATTATTTAAGTAACTACTGCCAATGGTTTTATATTGCAGGTTTCATTGATACATTGTTGTCATGGAGGTTATGGATTCCACTAGGTCGACTCACCTATTGTGCTTATCTCATCCATCCAATGGTGATTTACTGGTATTTCTTGAGTAGTAATACTACAATTTACTTCACCCATTCAGTGATGGTAAGTTAGTGTTTTTTTTAACTAATGTTATCATCAGAAGTAGCTAACATAGATATTAACCAGTTTGATCGAAGCATGTAGAGTGAAGTAGACTTTTCCTTTGTGTTTAGCTATATAAATTCATAAGACTGAATAACTGAAATGGAGGCGTGTATAACTGTGAGGTATTTTTTATATAATTACATATATGTGTTAATGTGTGTGTGTTTGTTTGTGTGTAATATACATATGTATAAACATTAATTCACTAATCAACTTTATCAATACTGTTACAGTTATTCGGGCTTATGAATTAGGCTTTTGTGTGATATGCACTAGTACATCTTCTTTCAAAAATTGACTATAAATGTATGTATTCTGAGTGTTACCTTTGGTGGAAACTTGCATATTATTGTCTGTGAAATCTGTATTGGAGTAGTAGTAGTAGACTACTGAATATATGAAGTTGTGTTTAAACCTGCAGACTAGAAAAATAATATATACAGTTTCACTCAGATTGAGAAATACATGTGAGATTCACTTGTGAATTTGTTATATTTTACAGAATAAAACTATGTTGGTATCTAACAGCTCAGTATTTAAGATTTTTGGTCATCTATCAGAAACACTTGTCAATGTATTACAGTTTTGAAACTCCTAAAACCATCTAGTAGCAACAAAGTTAATTTTTGTGTACTTTCAAATATAGATTCTTAATAGATTTTGTTTACTTATCACGATTGATTCATGGTACATTATTTGGAAAACTTTTTACTAGTCAACCTACGATAATGAATTTCAGCCTTAGTTCAGGATGTTTTAACAATTTAAAAGATCATATCAAATGTATTTTTTTTTTTTGGTATCATTTTTTAATACACTAAAAAGTATTATTATTTGTTAGACGTACTGCCATTAGGTGACACTGGTAAAACTCTTGCATTGTTTCAGTCAATGCCAAGATTGGTCTAAAAATATAATATCTAATAATATTTACATTTCACGGTGTGTTGAAGTCTCTTTGATCCTTTGAGGTTTTTTATTATTTATTGAAACAGATCACTTTTAAAAAAGAAAAAGAAAACTGAAAAATGTAATTGAACTTTCTAGAAATATAAACAATTTGCCTTAGCCTAATTTAATAGTTTATTTTTCTGTCTCCCAGTAGTAGGGCCTAGCATGGCCTGGTGGTTAAGGCACTAAATTCACAACTGAAGGGTTAGTGTTTCGAATCCCCATCACTGAACATGCTCACCCTTACAGCTATAGGGGCATTATAATGTGATGGTTAATTCCACTATTTATTGGTAAAAGAGTAGACCAAGAGTTGGTGGTGGTGGGTGGTGTTGACTAGCTGTCCTCCCTCTAACCCATCACTGCAAAATTAGGAATGGCTAGTACAGATAACCCTCTTGTACTCATGTAGCTTTACACAAAATACAAACCAAAGCCCAGTAGTGGTTTTGCATGGGTTATAAGTGATGCAGGATGACTAAGTTATTGTAGTATTATCATACAGTATCGAGTATTGTTGAAGCATTCGTAAATCAGCTTTAAATTTTAATTAAAACAACATGAAATGATGATTATAGTTAAATATAAGAATATCAGTTTAAGATATTAAGTTTCAGTAACATTAAAAAAAACTGGTTAGACTAACTTGAATATTTCTAATATATAGCTGAAAAGCTGAGTTACCCATCCTTTGTATGGGCTATGAACTTATAAAAAATGTGGGGGTGGATGCTATGATAAATAACACAAAAATTCTAACTTTCACACAATTTATTTATAACATGACATATTGTTACAGTATTCATTATTACCTCACCCAAAGTTTTGTATAAGCTTTAAGAACTACTATGTATATACTTAAAACATGGCATACATTGTGCAATGGTTAAGGTGACTTTATAGGAAGAGGTAGCAGCTAAAGTTGTGGCAGTAGAGGTGCTTTCAACACCCAACTCTTAATTTAATATCCTTCCACAGTATTTCATGTAATTAATGAATTGATGGCTATTGGCCACAGAAGTGTCTTACTAGAAGAAGTTGTAAGGTAACGGGTCAAAGTAGGAAGTGGGTATAACCAAGAAATGGCTCTTCATATCAATGTTATGGTGGCTGTTGTAGTAGAAACTTTATCTGAGTTTATGTATTATTGCAATAGTGGTGGCCATTTTTTTCATGAAATTATTCCATAGGGAGTGCTAGTGTACTGTTTGAGACATATAAAATGCTTGCTTACCCTCCCCCCATACTGTGTTAATGTTGTATCATAGAAAATTAAGTAGTTTGTTTTGGTTTGGTGTAAGGATGTGGCGCCATCTATGAATGTAATTAACGTTAACTTATGTCAAAGATAAGAAATGCTCAATAACAGCAATAATGGGGTGACGAGAGTTGTAAGACCCTAATTAACACCACCCATTTTCCAAATTATCATCCCACAAAGTTTGGTTGAGATTGGCCCAATGACTTTGGAGTAGTTAGATAATGGATAAACAGACAGACCCACAGATTTTTACTAAATGTTTAGATTGTGTAGAACTAATCTTTTTCAAAAATAAAAACAATATATCAAGTTACTAAGCTAGTATGTACAAGGCTACAAACACATGTTTTTATCTTCTTTTATATATATATGGTAACTTGTTTTTTATACATCTAATAATGTTGTCTTTTGTACATAGGTTGTCAACTTCTTGGCTTTTACTGTTATTTCCTATTGTTTGGCTTTGGTGGCATCCCTAGCTTTCGAGTCACCGATGATGGCACTAGAGAAATTAGTCCTAAGAAGAAACAGTAATTGATGTAGAGGTTAATTAAGATTTTGGTTTGAACCTCTAAAAGATTACGTATGATGTTTGCTTTGAATAGGGAAAAATACTTAAGTGAATTTTTAGGTTTAGAAAATGTGATGATTTTAAAGGGTGATTGTTCTGTAGGTTTCATAATGTTTTAGATTGTACAGGTACATTTTTATGATGTGATATTAGCTTCACTGATTTTGTAGAGTTTAACTTCTGTGAAAGAAAACATATTTTTTATACCTAGTTTTTCAAAGTGATGAGCCTAGCACCACGGTTATTGTATCATGTTGCCGACTAGGATCTGCATTTTTAATTACAGGCATTATAACTGGTGATGATTGGTTTCTGTCACTCTGATTAGCAGTTCTGAATTAGGGATAGCTGTGGCTGTACCTATTCAATCTACTTGTTACATAAGGTTCCCCTCAGGGTTTAAATACTAGACATTTTTCAGAGTCTATCATGCATTTCAATAATTAGATACTGAGTAATATAATGTTTCAGTAGCAATGATAATAGTATTCTGTTGTTTTGTTTTATCATATGAAATTGAATCCAATCTTGTATGTTATCATGGAAAAAATCTGAAAAAAAATTGTTTTTATTATTATTTTTATTGATGAAATAAGTTTTCCAACTATAATAGGCATGTAGTGACCATTTTGTTTTTGATTTAGCCATTAAAAAAACACTATTTATACTAAAACGTACCTTTCTGAATATTTTTTGCACACATAACTACTATTTAGGGGATTGTAAGTTTAAAAAAAAAATTTCTCTTTATTCTCAATCTTTGATATTACTTTGTTAATGTGGGTCTAATGTTGAAACTTAACACCATAAAACATGTTTTTCACAATAAAGGATCATATTTGTTTTATTTTTCTTAACCTTTAAAGTTAAGGATTTTGTTATTTCCTGCACATTTGTCAGAATATGGGGACCCAAACAATGTAGAGGAACCTTGAAAGAGAAATACTTACAAAGAAACAGTGACTTTTGTAGGTTTGTGGGAGTGATTTTTTTTTCGCTGCAAATTGGTTTCTGACTATCAGTTTTTCTAATGTGTTTTCACTGAGAATATAAACTTGTATTGATCTTTCTGAACTCTCTACAAGTATCAGACGCTAACCTGCAAATTCAAGGTTTCCATAACCTGCAAATTCAAGGTTTCCAGAATGTTAAATATTACCAGTGCAGCTGGTGTGAAAGTGATCTTTATGAAAATTAGAAAAAATGTAAGCTGTGAAAGTGGTCAAAGAAGGTATATCTCTGACAAAGATGACAATGCAAATGTCCAAAATGAAAAATAACCCCCATAAGAAAGCTCTTAATCATGAAAAAAAAATAGTGTGAGGATTGATGATTTGCAGGGGGTGATAAACAGTACTGAAAACTGGTTACCATGTGCAGCTTGGTTAGACAAATGACCATTTGCTAAAGCTGGTCGACTTTGGCACTGTGTAACTTTTCATACATACAGCCTTCAATCTTTCCACCTGTAGCAAAATGCTCATCACATTACATCCTAACCATATTTGTCATTTACTCAGCAAATAGTTACTGTTCTGTGTCACTGAATGGCTGGTTACATCTGCTGGTAAAAAGTTCAGGTGACACTTCATTGTTGTTTTGTACTTCCAGTTTTAGTTTCCACAGTTTTTGTTGTGTACGTACATCTCTTGAATTAAATCTGATTTGTTTTGGTGGTTGATATAGTGTTGTATACTTTCATAATTGTAACATTATGTTGTGTAAATTATATAATATTGTAGAATAACTTGTTATTAGATAGTTTTTATGTATCATATATGATTTTAGGATTTTTCAACAGAAAATACAAAATATAAATGAACCTTTCATAAATTTAAGAGGTAGGTAGTGTATAATTTATTAATTTAGGGTGAAACATTATAAATAAATATCTTTATATTTGAAAATTGTCATTAAACAATGGTGTGAGTTGTTCACATAATGGACTTGGTCATTACCTAAAGACTAATCAGGTACAGTCTTTTGGATTGAGTAATCAAAAATGTATTTATATTATTGTAGACAAAAGTACTTCATGCTGTTGTGACATTAAGCATTTTATTCAGTTGTATACAATGTCTATATTATACATAGATATAAATAACCATGCAATATAGTTAAACAGTGGTAATCGTGTTGTGCTGTTTTGAGAACAATAAACAAAATATGCATAATTTGATTGTTGAAGTTTGTAGACAGCTTGAATGGGTAGTGAAGGATACTTTGTTCCAGTTTCACGTAGTAACAAGTAACAAATGTACATTTCAACATGGTTTCGTCATCACTAAGTACAAGTAACTGAACTAGACACGGGAATATACATACAGTATGGAATAAAGATGTCACATGAATAGAGACTGCTTAATGGCTTAGTAAAGTTATCTTGGCAACCCAGAGTGTTGGTTTAGGATAAAGCTGTGTTGTTCAATTAAGATTTCTTTTATTTTTATGTTTATTGATGTCTTCATGTTTAATATTAGTGTTTTTATATATGTATGTTATGTGTTTTTTAGTTGTAATTGTAATAAACATGGGATGGTTTTTTATTAAGTGCAGTAAATGTGGTTTCTAATTTTCTTCCAGTTTCTCTGATGTATAATTCTGTGGAGTTATTACACATTATTTTGTAAATGATGTTGCTTTTGTGTGACTACATAATTTTTATTTGGTAATGATTTTAGTTTAGGGCTAGATTTAAGAGAAATGGAAGTTAATCAGAATTTTATGTTTAATGGCAAATTTTGTCCAAGTGTGAATTATTTTTGAACTGACTTCAGGGATAATTAGTAAACTGAAGTGTAATGTTGCGTTGTTGTTGTTTGATTCATTAGTATCAGTTTTGCTCGTGAGTTAAGTTTTGATGGTTTTTTTTTGTGGTGATAGATTGAAATTTTTTCAACAATAACTGGAGGAAATTTGTACATGTGAATGAAGAAATGCTTTATAAGGTTCATTTCATCATCTGTTTAGCAGTCTTTATAAGGTTCATTTCATCATCTGTTTAGCAGTCTTTATAAGGTTCATTTCATCATCTGTTTAGCAGTCTTTATAAGGTTCATTTCTTCATCTGTTTAGCAGTCTTTACAAGGTTCATTTCATCATCTGCTTAGCAGTCTTTATAAGGTTCATTTCTTCATCTGTTTTGCAGTCTTTATAAGGTTCATTTCTTCATCTGTTTAGCAGTCTTTACAAGGTTCATTTCTTCATCTGTTTAGTAGTCTTTAAGAGGTTCATTTCTTCATCTGTTTAGCAGTCTTTATAAGGTTCATTTCTTCAGCAGTCTTTACAAGGTTCATTTCTTCATCTGTTTAGCAGTCTTTATAAGGTTCATTTCTTCATCTGTTTAGCAGTCTTTACAAGGTTCATTTCTTCATCTGTTTAGCAGTTTTACAAGGTTCATTTCTTCATCTGTTTAGCAGTCTTTATGAGGTTCATTTCTTCATCTGTTTAGCAGTCTTTATGAGGTTCATTTCTTCATCTGTTTAGCAGTCTTCATAACGTTCATTTCTTCATCTGTTTAGCAGTCATTATAAGGTTTTCTAATGTATTGATTTTTTTGTTTGGTTTCATGAACAGAATCTTGGTGGATGTATAGACCAATGGACGTGTTCTTATGGTGAATTGTGGTTTTGAACTATGTGTCAGATCTAATAATGTTAAGAAAAGATAACTTTGTTGTTTTCACGTTTGATGGTAAATTTAATGTTGGGGTGAATGGAGTTTATATGCTCAAAGAAGGTTTTTATGTGCTTGATGAAAGTGAATCCAGCAAAATTATCATTGATATTATCTGCACCAGTATATAGAGGGATGAAGTGCAGAATTTTTGCCTGCTGTTTTGGCTCGTCATAAATATTTTGGCAATAAACAGGTGAAACAAGATTGCCCATGCTTAAACCAGCATTGTTGAAAATGAAGTTGGTTTTAGCTGTTGTAAATTGTATGAGGATGACAAAAATTGTGCTATGGATGTGAATTAATGGATTAGGGTAATTGAATGTAGAGGTTGAGAGCACTATTGTGGGAACTTCAGTGGCAAGTGAAACAACATCAGAGCTAACCATTAAGGTTTTAGATTTTAATTAGTCTAGTGTGTTTTTGAAATTCAAGACATCTTTGAAAAAGGAGCCTGCAAATGTTGAATATTGTGTGAGAACCCAGGTTATGTACCTGCCAAGCTTATACTTAAATGAGTCATTAGTGGAGTATAGGTCAAATGGGGCAAATGTTTGTGTGGTTTAGGAATGTCATAAAGTTGTGGTTTGTGCAAGTCAGTTTTATATAGATAAACATATAGGTCATTAGTAATTAAGTTATTTTTTCATTTGTGATAAATTTCTGTTCAGTTGTTTTTTCATGTGTTTTTGTTGGATTGTTTGGAATGGGTGCGAATTTCTTTTTATCAGAAAGTTTACGATTTATTTTGTTGATGTGTTCCTTGTTGTTTATGATGACAGTAGTGTGTTGCCTTTATTGACTTTTTAACTCTTAATGTTCTTGTCTTTCTTTAGATTATAGATACATTTGATCTCATTGTTTGTGAGATTGCTTTTCAGTTTACATGTTTGGTTAAGTGTGTTAATGGTCTTTAAAAAGTTGTTTAAAATTCAGTTTTGTGGAACTTCAGAAAACCACATTTAGTTGTAGTTACTTGTAATAAAAGTCTTGTGGTTCAACATCTGGATTTTTTCTTCTAGCTTGAAATTGTTTAAGGTACAGATAGCCTTTTATTCTCTTATGAAGTGGATCACTAGTCTTCTGGCTAGGCAGGGAACTATTTTGTGGTTGAGGCCTTTGTTCAGAAGTTACTGTTCTGTGTCACTGAATAGCTGGTCACATCTGTTGGTAAAAAGGTCAGGTGACACTTCATTGTTGTTTTGGACTTCCAGTTTTAGTTTCCACAGTTTTTGTTGTGTATGTACATCTCTTGAATTAAATTTGAGTTGTTTTGGTGGTTGATATAGTGTTGTATACTTCCGTAATTATCTGGTTTGAGGTAGCAGTATACTTGGTGGTCTAATTTCTGTTTACATTTTTGTAAGCATTCTAATTCTTAATATTTATAACTCTGGATTGCTTTTAAGAGTTTTTTCATATTGTATGTGTATCCCTGTGTCAAGTAAACTACTTGTATATGCTTATGACAAAATCTTGTTGAAACATCGTACATTTCTTACTATGTTAAACTTTTAATAACATTTTCTTTGTTACCCATTCAAACCATCTTCAAACATTATTAGTCTCTAAGTGGGTTCCTAGTCATAAGAGTTTTTAAAAATTATCATCAGTCATTTTTAATATTTTTACTAGATGTTTATATACAAACAAATTGCCATGAATTTCTAGTGAAGCACTTCATCTTTGTGTAAAGATAGTGATACATACCACATTGTAAACATAAATAAGTAACCCGTGCTTAAAATTATTGACAGATTGGACAGTTTTAAATCATTTTAATGGGAAAATTAATGGAACTAGATTAAAAAAAAAAGCAACTAAATGTGATTGTTGGTATGTAGTGGTAGTAGTAATCAGATGTTTTATATCAGTAAGGTCAAATAATAAGGTTATTTATATTGAACTATTATATGTGTATAAAATTTAAATAGTTGTTTTGAACTGGATATGATATCATTATGTATTATTAAATTGAATGCCAAATAAAACTGTTATACCTTAAGTTTCACCTCGGAAATATTTCCTAAATATAATAGAACTGATTCTAATGCCATTTTTTGTTAATAAGATTTTAAAATCCACACAATTTTTGTTTTAAATTTTTTGTCCAGCTTTAATTCATATATGCTTTTGCCTACATTATTTCTAAATGTGTCATGTTGTGGCTTCAGAAAAACATATGTTACAAGAAAAAAAATGTTCCATCACTTAACTATGAACGATGTTTTTTTTGTACCACCAAAGAGGGTGTGTTAAATAAAACACAATATGAAATGACACCTACTAGAAAATGTTCATTTTATTTTATGAAAAATATGATATAATTCACTTTGTTTTCCACCTTTTATATAGCAATAGAAAAACATTTATTTTGTTCAAGAGCAAAGACAGGTGACACTGTTACTACAGGGAATGAGTTTTAAACTTTGCAGAATGATACTATTTGATAGACCACATCTTTTTATACTTTACATAAGATTATTTTTCTAATGAAAAGCAAGAAAATAAAATTGTGAAAGACCAATAGTACAACATTGGCATTTTCAAAGGTAAAAAATCACTTTCATTCTATTTTCATAAATAAATGTGAAAATATAGGTAATGCACTTGTCTAAAGGAAAAGTTCAAAATTTATAAAAATTTTGTTACTAGACTTGACAATAATTAGTCCTGATGAAATTTAAGAACAAATTGAGATTGTGTATGTTTTTTCTAAATATTACTGGGCATTAAAGAAATTCCTGCTACTCGGGAAAACTGCTAATTATGTTCCTCTTTTTTAAGCAGAAGAAAGTTAAGGGGAGATCTAGGAAACTACATGACTGTTTTATTTCTGTTATCACTTAGGTTTTAGAATTTGTTGATAAGTGATCATTTGAAAGTTGGTCTGGAACACTGACATGTAGTGCACAGTATTGTTACATGAAGTTTTTGTCGTGCCATCTGCATTTTTGTGATTGATTTAACGTGGTATTCATTATTGTTTCGTGATTAATATAATTATTATCATGTAAATTAGCTAAGGGATATTGTCTGCAAGATCCTAAAATATCCATATTATATTTAAATGAAATTTGAACACGTATAATGAATACGATAGCTTTTATATTACACATCATTATGATATTATGATTTACAAGATGGTGGTCATTAGCATGTACTGATTTATATAGTGTGAACGTTATGTTCTCTGTGTTAATTACTTGTGATGTAGTTTTAAAAAAAAATTATATTTGTCAACAAATCCAATAATATATATCATTGTGTATGCTGATGGATTGAGGAATGTACACTGTCATGTTATGTTGGTTAGAATTGATCAGCAAAATATCAGTGTGTTGCCTGAGTATTGCATGATATCTACTTAAAACAAACATTACCGTTATGTAATCTTTCAGCATTTGAATTAATTTACAGTAATGTCATTTAGTCACCTGTATAATGCATATACCTCTCATCAGTATAATCCCAGCTTTGATCAGCTGTATCAAGTAGATGCTGTTCATGTAGGGTTGGGATGGGCAGTGATGTGTCCTGATGATGGTGGAAGCCTATGTAACATAGAATAGATACAACATGAATTCAACTGTTCTTGCTTCTCATTGAAATTGGCAATAAAAAGTACATATTGAATGATCAACCGATGTTGTATCATAGAAGCTCCACGGAAAGTAAAACTTGATGCCAAATTTCATGAAGGGAGTTTGATCTGTAACAGTTAATTGGCATATTTGTTATGGAGCAAGAGAAACCTTTGTCAATTAAAATACATTTAGCGTTGTGTATCTTGTACCACACTTCAATCATTTCCACATACATAATGAAGCTTCAAGTTACAAAATGGTTACCCTATGTCAGATTTAAAAAATAATAATTTTATATATATAAGTTCTTCTTTTTGCCAATTGTGGAAATAAATGGCTTTTACTTGTATTTCTTAATAGTATATAAATATATAGTATATTGTTGTTGGGCTTAGGATTCTTCTACAGTAGGTGTCTGTGACTTGTTAGCGATAAGTTCAACAATGAATAAACAGCACACACTTACTTGTTTTCAAATAATATATATATATATATATTCAGAACAAGTTAAACGTATCTACAACAAAGTCTTCACACTATAGAGATTACAGGCTTATCATAAACACTATTTATATATAGTACTCTTCTTCTTGTCAAAAGTCCACATAGGCCTATTTATTACTTTAGAATTTCAGTGGACAAGTCAAACTATCTTCTCTATATTACTATTGTACTAATATTCACTTACAGTTGTGGCGCAAGTTACCATAATTCGTTTAGTCTTCTTTGTTCTGAAGATCCTCTGTTCCTTTTGTCAAAGTGTACCCAGGCTGATTCAATTACTTTAGAACTACGCTTTGATGGAATAAAATTATCCTTCTTATCTTTTTTTATACTGTTAATTTCACTCTAACATATTAAACATTAGGTCTATCAGATCTTCACACGGCTATATTTGCTATTATCTGTCTATTGTTGTCTGTCTTCTGCTTCTTGCTCATCTCACGCTATTTATATCATTATTACATAGTTGTTTGACCACTTTCTATGTTCTTGACACCCATTAGTTATTAACAAAACCTTCTACAATCGTCTGCTTTTAACTGTTATTACAACAAAACTTAAAAATAATAAAGTATTCAATCACAAATATAAGTTAATCACTAATAATTAAACCAAACAGTCGTTTATACCATGACACCCTATAAATTTTCTAAATAACTTCATGACCAAATTTTTAATGACATATTATGACATTGTAATAAACCATCCAATGTCCCCAAATTTCATCTCATTACCTGTCTACCATTCATGGGTTCTCAAAGCATATAGATTAAAAAACAGATTTAAGACAGAAACTTCTGTCTGCAGATTTAACTCAATCTTATCTCTAGAACTAATTTACTACATATCCTAACAATGTTTATATTAGGCCTAAGGTTATGAATAAGTAATCTCTCTTTCATTCTAATGCTCTGTTAATCATTAGCTGAGACTTTAAAACCAACTGGAATGAACACAATGTCACATTTTTTTAGGGCATGTTCAGTTACACTTGACTTAATTGGGGGAAATCTTATGTTTTTTAATTAATGTTTACAGTTCTCTTTTAGTAGAACCAATATAGTCTTGCTGACAGCAAGGACAAGTAAACTTATAAACTACATATAATGATTGTAAATTTGGAACCTGGCCCTTAAATCTAAAGAAAACCATAGGCAACAATTGAATTTAAATACATTTCAACTGTATTTGTGGATACTTCCTTCGAGTGACATTTTTCAGCTGATTCTTAATGATTAAAGAATATTTACCCACTTGGTTAGATTGGTGAAAATAGGATATTTTGGCATTTCAACTGTACATGGTATACTGGTGCTTTGCTTATTTGAATAAATATGAAGCACTCTATCAATTAAAAAAATTGGAAAAGCATTCTTACATAAAAATTCCTTGATGTTATTAACTTCTTTATGAAAGACATCATATGTATGTGCTAGACATTTTATATACAAGATGAAATATTTTGACTAAATTTTCTTTGAAGATAATTGGAATGAAGCTTGCAAAGTTGAAATACGTGCCTGGAAATGTTTTCTTATAATACACTTCACATTCAAATTGACCATTACTACTATTGATTTAAAGTATCCAAAAATGATAGTTTATGATTTCACTGATGTTCCACAGTGAACTTTATGCTACTATATCTACTATTCAAATAGTGAAGAAATTGAGAAGTTTGAACAGATTTCTTGAAGGTGTTGTTAATATATTTCTGATAATAGAGATATTTAAACTGTTGTGGGCATTTATTTAGCCATTGTCTTTCATGAAAATACAGAAATAAATTGGTTAAAGATGGCACCAGTCTTAAGCGTATAGCATTGTTATCAACTTGATCAAATACTTTCCAGTCAAAAGAAAATGATATTCTTTAGAAGCAAAATTTATCAATATTCAAATGTGTGGATTTTGGAATAATCATACTGTTGGGAACTGTTGTTGTAAAGCAGACCAGCATTTAGCAGTATGGTTTCTTTTAAATGGATATTTCTATATAATGATTCTACATCAAAAGTAGTAAGTTACTTACATTGCTATAAAAATGTAGTTGTATAAATGCCTTAAGAATAGTCCTTTTATCTCACCTAAGGTAGTGACTGAAAGCTTGTAGCCAGTGGGGGCAGGAGGTTTTATTTTTTGTGTCTTGTTTTTCTTTATGAGATAAAAGTCTTAGAATTTCAGTTGTATTACTTTGACTTGTATTAGTTTGTCAGTAATGTTGATTTTATTTGAGTTTGTATGGTGTGGGAATATTACATTTGTATGTATTTTTATGGTGAATTTAATTTTTTGGATATATGACATAAGTAGTTAGGGTTATTTTGGAATGACTTAAGTTTTTTTTCAGCTTTTCATTCTGACTGTCCTTTTATATTTTTTATATAGCATACCAGGATCATAGGACTTTGGCAACTCTACCCTTCTGTTTCAAATTACATGACAAAAATTTACAATTTTCAAAATTGGGGTTTGGTAAAATATAAGTAAAAGGGTGGTTGATAGTGTATTTAATCTTAAAGTTTATATTATATTTTAGATTTCTCAGAATAAATCAGTTGCTGACATCATCAAAAATGGATACAATAAATCAATAATAACTTTATTTAGAAATTGAAAGATTATGTCTAAAACCTTATAAAAATAAGCTACATTTATTTCAGTTTAAAGTATTTCTTCTATTTTAAAGTGTCTGTTCCTCAGTTTTACCACTAGACAGTAGGGTAGAACTCTAGTTGAATTACTTTTGAAATTAGGCAAAAACAAATCAATTGTTGAAAACATGTTAATAAGACAACCAGTTGAGGCATTTAAGATGTTAGAAAACCAAGTTTGGGCTTTGGATTTTGGACATTTTATGCTCTTTATTGAGTCACAGAATAATAAATTCTTTTTATAAGTCGGGAAAAAACTG